TTTTTTTTTTGTCCTCTATAAATTATATCACTATCTAACGGATGTATGAAAAATTGTGTGCTCTTTTATTTTTCACTTGTTAATATTTGATTACTTAAATTTTAGAATGCTAATGAGGAAATCTAGACCATTCATATTCTTATCAATAAATCTTAGATGACACTAAACAACAATATCACAAAAGATATAAGGAAGAAACTAAAGAAAAAAAACTGATACGAAATAATTTCTAACTTGAATTCTTTAGGTTGATATTGTGTTGAAAAAAAAAATGTGAGGAAAGATGGTGAAGAAAAAAAAAAAGTTGAGGCTAAGAAACAGTTATTAGTAAGAAAGAGGTTACATATTTTTGTCAGCAATAAATCTACTGTTATTCATGAAGTTTGGTTACCGCAACAACAAAAAATTCTTTCCTGTAATTTGGTGGTTATCTGAAAAAAAAGCTTTTCTTTTTTTTTTTTTTTTTCAGTAAAAATGTTACATTAGTGATGGTTAACTTAAATGAGTAATGATTCCCACTTTTTTGTTTTCTTGTTTTTTTTTTTTCAGTTTTTAACGCAATGTAAGCTAATATCTGTATGATAGGAAACTACAGAAACTGGAATACATCACGATGCAATGAAGACATTATCTATTTGCATATTTCAACTGTTTCTGTTACTGCAATAGGTATCGTTGTTGGGCGATGACGGCGATGATGGCGATGATGGTGTTGGGTGGTTATAAAAGCCTCAAAACTTCTTTTTTTTCACAACACCAGTTGTAGCAGCAATAAAAGATGGCAAATTGAGAATCTGTGTTAAGTGCTTTTCTTCTTCTCCCACTTCTTCTTTCCCTATTTTGTATCTCCACATTCTCCAATGCTTTCGTCTTATTTCTTAGTACGATTAGAAAAAAAAAAAAAAACATTCTCATCTCTTAATATAGAAGTGCTGAAGTTATATAATGCAAAAAAAAAGTAAAAAAAAAAAATAAAATAGATGAAATTTGAAGTACTTTAAAGGTTAACAAAAAAAAAAAAAAAAAATTTTGTTTCTTTGAGTAAACTATATGTCTACTCATTTGGCCATCGATCTATCTATTTGTTCAACTAACCGTTCATCTGTCCGTCTACCTACCTATCTGTATTATGAGAAAGAGCTATAATTTAGGCCGAAAACAAATCAACAACACCTTTAGTTGAACTATACTTTTAATTGTGAATCTTATGCCAGACAATTTTTCTTCTCTCTTTTTTCGCTCATTTACCTCTTTAGCACTTCAACTAGTCAAATATATTTGAAAAAAAAAAAAACATTTTTGATGATTTAAAAACCAACAAGAAATTAAATCAAATTAAAGTAAAGCAAAAAAAAAAATAAAGT